CCCCTAGTTATAATCTTATTTGATTTTAGCTTTAGAACTTGTTGAAAAGTAGGTTCATGAACTGATCCCTTCGAAACATATTTTTAATTACTTGAAATTACTTTTTGTGAAATAAAATTTAAATTATAATTAATTTTTATTGAAGGAATGTCTCGAAATAAGTTTCAAAACGTATTTTTCCAAAACATATATTTCAATTATTTGAAATTACTTTTTATGAAATAAAATTTAAATTTTATGTTCATTCTGATTAAAAGAATGTATCGAAATGATTTTAAAAACAATTTTTAAGAACATATTTTAAATTATTTGAAATTTCCTTTTATGAAATAAAATTTAAATTTTATTTAATAAAGTTATATTTAAATCATTAATTCTGATTAAAAAATTGTTTCGAAATAATTTTAAAACCATTTTTTCTTTTTAATTATTTGAAACTACTTTTTATGAAATAAAATTATATTTAAAAGTATAAAATCATTAGTTTTGATTATAGGAAAGTTTCGAAATAATTTTAAGAATATTTTTTCTTTTTAATTATTTGAAATTACTTTTTATGAAATAAAATTATATTTAAAAGCATAAAATCATTAATTTTGATTATAGATGGAATGTTTCGAAATAATTTTAAGAATATTGTCTTTTTAATTATTTGAAAAATTACTTTTTATGAAATAAAATTATATTTTAAAAGTACAAAATCATTAATTTTGATTAAAGAAATATTTGGAAATAATTTTTAAAACATGTTTTTAATTATTTGAAATGACTTTGTATGGAATAAAATCTAAATTTTATTTTACAAAATTATATTTAAAAGAGTAAAATCTGTTCCGAAATAATTTTAAAACGAATTAAAAGTAACCCGTTCTAAAAAATTGATGTCCTTTCTAATATGTACGTCTATTTCCGCTTCAAGCAACCCGTCCCTACCTCGAAGATTTCAAACCTCTTTTCATCCCCATCCCCAAAATAATTAAAGGCGAAACATATTCTTCTGTCTTTGAGAAGCAAAAAGTTAATACTTTATTCTTAGTGTCCTACCATTGTTCATCGTTTCAATTACATGGGGGATCAAGTAATTAATGCACGAATGTTTAAAATAGAGTTGAGGTTATAACTTGGAATAGCTAATTAATTTTAAAAGAAAATGATTCCCGAGAGACGGAAACTTTACTTGAACACAAAACGAAGTCTCAGGAAATGGTTTCGATTAACCGTCTGAGGAACTAGGCTTAGCCCGGCTAAATGCCTCAAGTGACATCTCTACCTAGTTAGCTCATTTACAAAACTCACCAATAAAATCTCACTCAAAGTAAGATAAACGATTATTATTTAAGAACTTCGGATTCAAAAGATATAAATACCACGAAGATTATGGTGTGCGCAGAAATCATGCAAAAGTTGAAGAAAAGAACAACACTACTACGCCACAAAATGAGATTCTGTAAATCAAAAGAATAAAAGTTCATGATGAAAAACAAGCAACAAGAAAAAACACACAGATGCCTCGTATGGTATCAAAGCTCCGAGAAATTCTAGTGCTTACCATGGAGAAACCTATAATTTTCTTTTTAGCGTTCAAACCCTAAAACAATCAAATGAAGCACACAAGAAAAAAGGAAAAAAAAAAAAATCTACTGATAAAGCGTGGGAAGTATTCCCCATCCGTGGTGTTTTGAGCTGAGCAGATCAGGTGGTAACGTGAAAATCCCCATCCCCATCAAAGGGAATGCACGCACTTGATAATTTAAATCAGGGCTAACCAACTAGACAAACTTACACATATAGGTTCACGTAACTTCTGAACCAAAAAAAGGTATTTGCGAAGGAAAACACTCATTAGATACTTTTTTAAATTTTAAAATCATTTCTGATTTAGTGTACTTATCAGCCATCTTAAAACTACAGCCAAACTCACCTTCAAAACCAAGATCAATCATATGTGGGAATAGAGGAAGCTGTGAGATGATACCGTTTGAGAGCATCAATACGGGAGTTATTATCAATAAGTGACGAACTAAAAGTGAGGACGCACACATCAAAACCAGAAAATGGAAGCTAAGAATCAAATAGCTAAAGTTGGAAAGAGGCCACTGTTGATAAAGACACTCAAGGAAATGACTTGTTTATTGAGGTCACAGTTTACCAAGCTCAAGGAACATCAAAAACCATATACTTGCATGTCAAAATTGCAAACAAGATGATATCATTTGGGAAGGAAAAGAAAGCAGAGAGAGAAGTATAACGCGCTCTTGTGCGTCCTGTAGTTTAAAGTGTTTAAGTGTTTAAAATGTACCTTAAAGTTCGTGGACTTGTCGTTCAATGCTAAGAAGTCCGATAATGTCCTCAACGCAGATTGGAAGACGGGTGGGCATTCCTAGTTCAAGACAGGACTGTAATACACAGCACGAAATGGGACATGGGAAATGGTAAATAATTTTAATAGGTAGCAAAAAGAATTACCTGAATGTTGCGAGGAAATGGAGATTTTCCATAAAACGACGATAAGATAGCTCATCCTATAAGAAAATCCATGTCAGAGTTCACAAGAAGTAAGGCGCTAAAGAATGAAACTATGAACAAGACCATTACCTTTGTTCCAGGCGGTTGTGGACTTGTCAAAATTGCTGGGCAGTGACAATTTCCCTCGAGAGGAGTACATTCTTCATGTGCTATAAATTTCATATAATATATGCGAAGTAAAAAGAAGTAAAATATTTTATTTTTCATTTCGCCATTAGGGACGGCAATAAACATACTGCGGGTTCATAAAGATTACAAGCAAGTTGTGGAACAATGCAGTTAGCAGTAAAAATAGGTTCCACTTCCCAGTAATATTGGAGGAACTGTATTACATTTGGATTTGCGATGTTATAAACCCGCATATTGATGTAGAATTTAGCATTTCTATGGGATACTACTAAAAAGCTTGAGCTTTCATCTGGGCTATTTCCAGCCTTATGCAACCACCAACATCTAAAGTTGCCAAAGACCAAAATGATTCAGTCAGTTGAAGATATTGATTACCGATGTTTTCAGTTACTGCATAATTAGTTAGTCTCCCAAATCGGCTTTAGTTGCTGGGAGGTGTTTTCACGTTCCTCCCAGTACTATCAACTGCTGGGGACATTTGAGCAATTTCTTCAGGGACTCGACTATACTTGCAAATGATGGGCGCTGAACAGGATCACTGCCAAGAAAAGAAGAAATATGAGATTCTATTTTCGATCACTTCGGTTTATTGGATGTCCCCAAAGGGGCCGATCTTTCTGGTTTATCGACATAACATATTCAGTCTCCAAATAGCCTTTCATGAACAAATACAGATATCGAAGATACTAGCAAATAATAGAACCGCAGAAAATTGTTTTAGAAATTCCTTTTTCGAGGGGAATGTTAGGAATCACGGATCTCCACAATGGTATGATATTGTCCACTTTAACATAAGTTCTCGTGGCTTTGATTTGGGCTTCCCCAAAAGGCCTCATACCAATGGAAATAAACTCACGATCATCTCCTAATTAACCCCTAAATTAACCAATGTGGGACTTCCTCCCAACAATACTCAACAGGGAAGAATTGGAAGGAAAAAAAAATCACCAAACCATGTGAAAATAAACAGAATGACCGAGTACGGTATGTAAATTACAGATGAAATAACTTACTCTGCCCAGCAAGATTCAATAAGGGAAGACACCAACGGGGAAGTGTTTGGTGGTATGGAAAGCTTTCTATTCTGGAAAGCGACAGCTCCCACAACCTAGAAGTTCGTACAAACATGTTCACCAACTTAGGAGGGTAACAGTAGAGAAACCATTTTAGTAGACATGTAACAATAAACTCTGTAACATGAATGCCATGACTAACCTGAGCCGGGCCAAGCCCACTCCACGGTTGTTGCATGGTGACTAGTTCCCAGAGGATCACTCCAAAACTGTAGACATCAGTCTTCTCATTTGAAGGCTCTCCACGAAGGAATTCTGGAGCCATCCACTCAGGCTGAAAATAAAAGCAACATAGTTACATTGATGGACGGCTGAGAAAAAAAACTTAACCTGCGAAATATTGGTGCAAAATCTGACTTTCTATGGCAATAGAAATGACATGA